ACTTTAATCCACAGTGTTAAATTTGTCTCCAGTCCCAGATGGGTCCAATTGTTTCTTCCAAATGTCATTTCAGAACTGCACATCAAAATGATCACCCACAATACATGAAATGAGCAATTTCCAGCGCAGTCGCGTTTCACAGGCATTTCTCTACACATTTTCTTTTTCATTCAGGTAACTGACATCAATCCTTATCACCTATTCACACAGATGGATAAATAATGTTTCTAACAACAGAAACTAATTTGCCATTTCTTTCAAAACCTTTATGCTTCACTTACCTATATAACTATTTTTATGCTGCTTGATTATGTTTTTTTCTTCTGAAGGTGTGCATGCTCCATACTAGGAGCTGCAGCTGCCAACCAACAGTGTGCAAGCAACTGTGCAAATACCAAGAGCCAAATATGCATCCTGATGTTTTACTTAGGTGAAAGCATACGGTTCATAATGCAAATAAAAACTCTATTACAAATGAATAAATACAATAAAAATAAGAAGTATTTTCAGTGATGAGTACTCAAATGCTCTAAGGTAACATGTACTCTTGTACTAAGATATAAAAAGTACTGTACGATGTTTTCATGTGAAATGTATTGAGGCAGAAGTTTAAAGTAGTATATACTGTATATGAAGTACCCCGCAACCCGGTCTTGGATAAAGCAGACGAAGATGGATGGAAGTACTAAAATTATACTTGATTATAGGAATTTAGAAAATACACTTTCCACCGGTGGCAATTTTGTCTGTGATGGTGTGAACACATGACTAAAGGCAGTGAGACACTGTACTGTAGACAAGCACCACAAACACAAACATACGCACAGTTCCTCTGTATAACGCCTTTACTGTTTGTTTGCCTTGCTGCACGCAGCTATGCCTCTCTGTAGACCCGTCTTGATTTACTGCATTCAATTGTACCTCTGTTTGCAGCTCTGCTCTCCAAATGCCGTTTGTTGATACTCACCAGCACACACATTCACATGCATGCAGGATAACCACACATTACACATGATGACTTCGCACAGTGTCTTGGCCAATTTTAAGTTAAAGATTAGCCACAGTTCTCATGGGGATGTTATTGTTGAGTCTACTTGGACAAGAAAACAGTCAATACATAAAGTTGATAAATTACTTAAACATAACACATATACAAAGTGCATCTGCACACACACACACACAAAATGTCACATTGCCAGAGGGCTCTTACATGCTGTGAGTCAGATCTGGTTGAAACTAGTGGCTCCCAAGCCGACGCTGTCCTCATTACACTAACAGCATACTGACCACTCTTCAGTGTATAGAGTTTCTTAAATCATTGAGAGGATGTCCAGACAGTACGTTGGTGAGCTGAATAACAAACAGTACTATATCTGACCAGTACTTTGAAACACCGTGAGTGTGTGTGTGTGTGTGTGTGTGCATGTGAATATGCCAGTGGGAAGGGCAACACTGGTTTGTATTAATGGGATTAGGGTCGACTTTACCCTTCCTCTTTCCTCCTCTCTTACACTCCTCCTTTCTCTTCCTCTTCTCTTGTAACTCTTCATCGTTTTTGTTCCGTCTCCTTCGCCTTCGATCATCACCCACTTTTTGTAAGTCATACCCCTGCCCCCCTCCCCTTTTCTTCCCACCTTCTCTTTTTTCACTTCAGTTTTTGTATTTAATGCTCTAATAATTCTCATCTTTCCTTGCTCTTTCTTTGGTTGCCACCTTTAACCCTCCCTTGTCCTTTTTTCCTCTTAAATATATAACAAAAACACTGAGGCTTGTTGCAGTCAGACATAGAAGCTCCTCTAGACGTTTTGTGCTCAGTCTTTTTGGCTTATGTTCACTGCGCTTACATAACCCACCGTCAAAGCAGTGCTCAGTGAGAGCGTAGCCACACAGGAAACCCATGAATTCTGTTTGCTGTATAAATGATCGACTCTGTTTCCTCAACACTGAGATCTATTGAAACATTTCTATCTTCGATCTGTTTTAATGCTGATTAAAATACTAGATAAATTACAATATTTGCGAGGCTGAGAGCTTCACTGTCCACACTAAACATCTGCCTGTTTGCCGTGCCTAGATTGTTTTCTTTCAAATAATTGCATGGCTACACAAACTGAAGACTCCCTTACCAGGTTTTTCATGCTTTTGTCAGTGAAAATGCCAAAAGGAGGCAGAACTTTTGACTTTAGGCCAGACTTCTCATCAGCTCTAATCCTGTCACTTTGGCCAAAGTCCTCAGTCTGGGGACTGCTTAGCTGTAGGTTCTGGTTACACAACTATCAGCAAAGCACCACAGGGGGCCTTATTCAAGATTTTAACTGACTTTTTAAAGGCGGGGGATTGAATCCCATTGCATTCTATACACTACTATCTCCTCACTGGCCTTCACTATCTCCTCATTACCTTATTTAAAACACTGACCTAGTCAATTTTTATATCTCACTGATAATGAAATGTATCTGACACTGCCATTATTCACACTGAGGAAGAAGACAGTGTGTGGGAATAATACCTATTAAACTAAGTACTGCAAGTGATCATGCTGGAGCAATTAGAGCAATTGCTTTCTAACTGGACCATTTGATTTGATTTGATTGATTTGATTTGATTTATTCTTTCAAGCATGTAAAAACAGTTGATATGACAACACACATACACATAATCCAATATCAATGTGCTTATACCTAGTACATGCTTGAATGGAGTAGGAAGAAGTCAAACTTATCCAGTCCTACCCCATGACATCATCTTACCATCATTGGTTTGCAAGCAGTAAATGATTTACTTCTACCCACACAAGTATTATACTAAAAAAATTATAAGTGTTAACATTCTTACATAATTACATTCTTAAATAATTGTCTTCTACACCACACAAGTAATATACTAAAGAAAGAACCATTTGGACAACACTTCAAATAAAAGCAAACACTTTCATGTTAAACACTTTCTTTTCTCAGTAACTCCTTTACAGTGCCCTGATGGGTGACCACCAGGTGCTCCAGTGAAACAGCACAGTTACCTACAATCGAAGGGTTGGAACATGCTGAGCTGAATGTAAATACAACTGAATGGTCCTGAAAAACAACTTGCATGCTTAGTCACATTTTAGCTGGCAAAGTAGTGCAAACTGTAAAACAAGAGCTGTGTTATTTACTGAACCATTCCGATGTAGCGTCATCGTACCTCAAGTCTATATGTGGTAAGACCACAGCTTCGAAATTCAGCCCAGGAAATGAGTCACAAACTGATAGACAATCTCATTAAAAGAAAAACTGAATACCACTTCAAAGTAAGAAACCGTGTGGGTCGACACCAGGGGCACTCTCTAATGCATCAGCTGAACAACAGCACTCAATCAGAACACAGTCAGTAACTGGTAGCACAGTGGTTTCTTAACACTTTTCTTAACACCTCCCATGGTATCCTTTATTCAAATACCATACAACCCTCAAATCCATTAGATCTCAAGGGTTCTCTAGCACAGGGATGCAAATTTATTGCTTTAAATAAGCAGTTTGGTCATGTTCTTGCTTGGATAAGGCCAAAGTGCTCCTTATAATTTGTTATTTTAAAAGGAAATTTGGAGCCAAATAAGAGTATAATCACACTATTTTATTTTCTTTGCCTCTCTGATTACTGTATTTCTTACATTTTCCTGTAGTACAAACTATATACAGCATGTAAATGTCTGCAGTCTTTTCGTTTGATGGTTTATGTATCTCTGCCTTGCACCACATGGACAGCTGTGCACACATGCTCTCGCAAACCAAACACACACATTAGCGGCATAATAAATAACTACACAATTTTTATGTCAAATGGTTTTGATTAATTTGTGAATAATGTTATCCTAGAACCCAGAAGCATAAGAAACAACACCTTTGCAATTTTTCAAACACAACTAGTAAATGGTACAGAGACAACATTTGCATGTTTAACAAAGGAAATAAAAAAACATGCCTGCACAGTTGGCTCAGCAGGATTGCTGCCTATAATTAGTTCTTCTTTGCTCTGGCAAACTACTCATTAGGAAGATATTGCATGTGCTATTACTGTAACCTGAAGTGGAGAGGAACTGGAGAGAGAAAAAACGGTGAGATAAAGAATGTGTTTCTCTTTTCTTATCTATGCTTTGTTTTTATAGAACAGATTTGTTTCTTCTATAACTAGATAGATAGATAGATAGATAGAGCACATGGGTATAAAACTTAGTTTATTCCTTCAAATTATTAATTCCCACACATCAAGAAGGAATCATCTGGCTGTCACTGATATGTTAAGAGGCCTCAAAGTGCTCCAGTCTTGTGGAGTGTTGTACCCCGTACTTTTTACCATACGGACTCTGAGAGACGAGACAGTCCAAGTAACTACAAAACAGTGCTGATTTATTCAAAGGATCACAGGTAAAATTAACATTACACGCTCAGGTATCTTGCACCTCCAACCTGCTCACAGGCAGATGTAAGATGAAAGACCCTGAACCCACCAGGCCTATACATTATATCCCCTCGGTTGGGCTAGCCCCATACTACACAGAAACGTCAACCGAGACGTCTCTGTTACCAGCTTTGCAGCTGGTCATAGCAGTAGTCTAAACATGAAGTAAATCAATGTGTGTGTGTCTGTTGATTAACAGACTAACTAGACATCCTATCTCCACTAAACATTTCTAATACATAAAGTATCTATCCAATTTCTATCTGACTAAAAATACCTAACAGGAGCTACAACTCCTCTGATAAGCAATGGTTTGAAAACAATAGAGGGAAAACAATAGCAGAGCTGAGGTAGTGCTCCCTGTGTCTGATTTTCAAAAGCTATTACAGGGATGGACATAGGGCTATGAGAGGCTGTGGCTTTTGGGGAAATTGGGATGGGTGTTTGTTTGGGCTGATGGATATAGCAGGACAAAACGCTGCACTTTGTCCTAATTTGTGGCATGCTATACAAATCTATATGCAATGCTGACTGTAATTTGAGATAAAAAAAAACTCACTCACCTCCAAAACAGAGCGAGACACAGAGAGAGAGAGAGAGGGAGGGAGAGATGAAACCAAGAAAAAATCTCCACTTGTCGAATTGGTCAGCTTGAAAAACCTCACATCATGTCCCAGTAAACCAGACTCAGTCCAAAGCCGGTGAGCAACTCCAGAAAGCCCTGAAGCGCAGATGGAAACAATGCTCAACTCCCTTGTCCTCACCTCTACTCTTGGCTTCAATTCCTCACTTACTGCCTGCCTTTAGTTATCCACACAGACCCGTTGTTATTAGCGACTACTTCATGTAATATTGAACGCTGATAATGGACCAGTGTGACGGGAAATGGAAATCCAGGCTTGCGGTTTTTGTTCAGTGTTTACATCAGCCATTTATATCCTCTCTGAACGAGCAGGAGCCGCGCTTCCTTTGTGCTCACTGTCTCTCGCACTCTCAATGGGTTAAACCATTCCCGCAGCTCGGGAGGGGGTGGTGGAGAGGAGCCATTCATGCGATTATATGGGAACGACTGGGCTTGGTGACTCGTGGCCAAATGTTGTTATTGTCAGGGGTAAAGAGGCGGGGAGAGAGGAGAGGGAGGAAGGGGAAGAAGAGGGTGAGGGAGCAGAAGGAGGGAGAAAGAAGAGATGAACATAGAGAAGGGGATAGACAAAGGTAACTGACAAGGAAACCAGCAAAGATTAGAATTTAGAATCTACTGCAAATGAGAAAATCATAATAAAACATTTTAACAAGTGATACAGCATCCCCTATTTGATATTTATATTTTGAAACAAGCTTCTTGGTTGTTGTCTTGGCATGTGGCACTGAAAACTGTCCCCACACTAAACCATCTTTCTTCTCACACGCGAGCGGGATGATTTCTCATGAGCATGCTCTAAATGCAACCTCTAGGGTGGATGTGTGTGTGTGTGTGTGTGTGTGTGTGTGGGTGGGGGGGCATTTTGTTCTGCTCCGTTATCCAGCACCAGCAGTGTGAGTTCAGCACCTTGGAGAGCTCCCATCCAGCACCGAGCACCCGGGACCACAGAGAGCTCTAGTTTATAGGCCCCAGTTTTATTAGCTAATCATAAAATATGACAACATATAAGTTCTAAGAACATCATAAAGGTTGTTTTACATTAGGAGATCTAACAGGAGACTGTTCTGTTGGCAGTTTCTTCTCTGTACATCTGCAGAGCTTTAATCCTGCGCCAGGCTGTTGCAGCCCTTGAGGGGCGAAAAACAGATTTAAAAGCGTGAAAGATTCAAAGCTCTGTAGCTACTGTATATGTGCAGGCATGATATGGGACAATAGCGCCATCTGCCGGAGTGCTAAGTAGTTTCTTGTGGAACAGAGTGGAAACTACACCTGATGTAATCCATAATGCCAAATGAGAGTCAGTGTGGCTTTATTTACTGTCACATACTGTTGGGATTCTTCTGACAGGCCTGCACCTCTGCTATCGCTTAATATGTAAATTTGTTTAAAGAAGCATAACTAATTACTACGAATGCTATTGAAGAAAACGCATTTTTCTCAAACCGAATATTTAGCACATTTCCTGCAAAAGGCTACTTAAGTACAGCTTTAGCCAATATCCTCCCAACCTACATACACTGGAGAAAAATAATGAAACGATCGTCTAAAAACATTATTGTCTGATCTGCATTGTTACTGCAATGAAATGCAGTTAATCCTTTAGTCACTTTACTGTTGATCTTCACTGACACGCTTCCAGTGATGCCCATATTTATGTCACTCCACGTGTTATGTAACCATATCATATCAGACTGAGACGGATGAGCTTTGAAGCCTTAATAAAATACAATACAATACATGCATGGAGGTGCAGTAGACCTATAGCTTTCGATGACTGCTATGAGAAGTTATGGATGTAGAACATTCATATGATTTCATACATGAGAGGCTCTAATGCCACACAGAATGTCAAAGGGTCACATTTTCACCCAAGTGGTCACAGAAACAC